AATTATGTTTCTAGGTAGTAAAGTTGGGCTAAGCGCCCTCCTTTATGCCGCTTATTAACAAATATAATTAAACTCTATTAACAACAAACGCTTTTACTCGAACAATATTTATTTGACAAACAACAGATTTAACTGGATAAAGTTGTTCCACGGTGAAGTTGAAGTTGTATTCAGATTTAGTGGAGAAAATGTATTAGGTCGTAAGCTCTGTTTTTTTTTTGTTCTCACGGGGAGTGAGTTTATGTGTGAATAAGTCCGACGACGATTATTCTACCTTAGAAACAATAACTCTTCAAACACATTAAGCCGAACGATAGTTGTTTCTTGAAATGGACAAATATTTAAAAATTTAGCCTATTTACATGGAATGTTCCAAGTCATTTCTCCTTACATTTTCTTTCTCAAAATAAGTTGAACGATGATCACTAGACGCATAATGTAATTTGGAGAAGCAAACAACACAGAGAACTGTGCATTGCAATTTAAAAACAATGATTTACTTCTAAGTTTTAACTGTACTTCTCTAGTCTTCCGAAGCGTGAATTGATTATGTCAAACTTGTTTTCTCACACATAATTCTTTTATGCGATTTTTTTACAGAGAACATATTGATAAAGTCCTTCACAGAATTCATAATTCCGTTAATTGACGTTTTCTTGAAAAATTCAAGGATAGGTTAATTTAATTTTTTTTATTCACAATGAAGCAGTAACATACAGCTTTTCTGACCCCTGAGAGGTTAGAATGTCAGCGATTCCACGGATACTTTTCAACGAGTCCGAAAAACCTGAAAACGGTCAGTAATGACGCATGATCGGTCAGAAATTACCCACTTTCCGCCACTGTCGGAACTACAAAGTTCAAATGAAAGCATTTATTGGAAATGACGGCCCCATAAGTTTTGGTGGGTATTTCCGCAAATTTTTCTGAAAGTAGTGATAGTGATAATGATAATGAAAAGACCAGCGAGAGAGCCGTTTACTATACGGCAGATTTCTGAGAAAATACCTAATAGAAGAAAAGGACGTTATCACCATCTAACACCAATGAATAAGTCGTACGCCGGTTTATAATTTTATACCACACCAGATCAGAGTTTGAATGTTAATTTTTTTGCAATTCTCGTAACTCTAGACGAGTAAATTCTATTTCACTGCCAAACATTGTATACTTATATTAAGTCCATAGCTTCTATCGTTTCTTTCGACTTTTTCCTTCTTCTGTCTCTTTTCCTTTTGCTCTTCGGAATTTTCCACGCCACCATCTTAACTTTCCTTTCTTGGGTTATTCTTTCTAGGTGTCCTAAGCATTACAATCTTTTTATTTTTATGAAATTGCTTACAACAGTGTCATTATATAAATCATATATTTCTTCATTAGTTCTTCTTTCCCATTCTCTTTCTGTTTGTTTCCATCCAAAGATTCTTCTAAGGATCTTCCTTTCCCAAATTTACAGTCTTTGTTTCATTTTATTGGCATAATCCATGTCTCACACGCGTATGTTAGGGTTGGTCCCTCTCTGGTTTTATATAAGTATTCTTAGTTTTGTTTGCCTCGATATTTCTTTACTTTTCATAATTTTTCTTAATCCTCCTGCACAGTTGTTACCTTTAGCAATTCTCAGGGTTATTTCTTTGTCTTCTTGGCATTTGTTGGTTATCAACACCCCTAAGTAAATAAACATTTCTACTTCTTCAAATTCTACTTTTATTACAGTTATTCTTTAGTTCTATATATTTTGTTTTTTCTATTTTAAATTCTAAGCCTACCTCTTCTGCTTGTCTCATTAGCTTTGCTGTTATCCTTTCAATTTCCCTTCTATTCCTAGCTAGTAGGACTAAATCGTCTGCGTAGACTAGACATTGATGGCTTCTATTGGAGTTGTAGACCCTTCCTGTTTATATCACTTTTCCTTATAATACTCTCTAGCACCAGATTGAATAGAGTTGTTGACAACGGATCACCTTGTCTGAGTCCTTGTTTAACATTGAAACTGTCGCTAGTTTTTCCGTTTACTTTTACTCTACTTATTGTGTTTTTCAATGTCATTTCTATTAGATTTATTAGTTTTTCGGGAATATTTAGCTTTCTCAATATGTTTATTAACTTCGTCCTGTTCACGTATCGTAAGCTCTTTTGAAGTCCACGAAGAGTAAATGAGTAGGAATTTCATATTCGTAGTTTCCTACCATGATTTGTTTCTACATAAATATTTGATCGATTGTCCCCCTTCCTTTTCTAAAGCCTCCTTGATATTCTCCTAGAGCTTCTTCCATATATCCTTCAAGTCTTCTTTTTATTATCGATGCCAGTAGTTTGTACGTAACGTCTAATAACGCAGGCCCACCTTAGTTTCCGCAGCTTCTTCTATCACCTTTTTTAAAGAGCGGAGTTATTAGTGTAGTAGTTGTAGTAGTAGTAGTAGTAGTAGTAGTAGTAGTAGTAGTAGTAGTAGTAGTAAGTGTTTATTTTTACACTACGGGCTTAAAAAGATTCTTGATTTACAACACTATAATTTTTTCCTAATTAACAAAAACCAAATAAAACATTTTAAAATAACTCATTTTTTTCCTTTATCCCATCCCCCCTTGCCCCAGCCTTACTCTTGTCCTCTCCACTTCTTTCATCCATTCCACCCCTCTTCCGTCTTCATTTAATATCTCTGTCACACTCTTCTCTCTTTCTTTGCTCTCCTCACAGTCATGCCGCATGTGCTCTATCGTCTCTCGCACTTCTCCACACTTCCTACACATTCTCTCACCTTCGCTTACCCAAAACTTATTATTTCTTTCTTCATTTCCACACCTAAATCTCGCAATTATTTTTTTTTCTTTCGCGCTTTCTCTGTCTAGGTACTTTGGTACTGTTTCTGTTATTATCTTTCTATAGTCTGCATTTTACCTAGATTTACTTACACTCGCTCTTCTCTCTTGTTTATCTATGTCTCTGTCACGCATTCACAACTCTTCTCTCATACTCATCCCCATTTCTATGTTTCTCTCTATTTCCATCCATGCGTATCCCAGTCTTTCATAATATACTTGCCTACCCTTGTGATGTTCTTTACCTGCTTCGTTTTTTTTCCTTCCAGCTTTCATACAATATCCTACATTCCTCTTTTTCTTTCAACCTTTCATCATATTTGGCAGCTCTTTTCCCAGTGTATACTCTTAATTTCTCTCGTTTACATTCTTCTCTTACTACACAGAAAAAAGTCGTGTAAATTTACAATTATTTTACTGTTGCTTTTTATGTATTTTTTTACTTAAATTTAGTAAATTTACGTAAGTTAGCAGCATTGTGCATAAAATAAGTAAACTTGTGTCACTATTTGTATTTTCACAAGTCAAATTGAAAAAACACAATACAGAATCGCAATTGTAAATGTATATTCACTTTATAAATGAATTATACTTTATAATACCGTAAATATACTAACATTTTTTACAATTACTTCCAACTTTGTAAAATAATCCAGTCTACCGGTGAAATCACATGCATACTGTGAATTGTTGATGCGCACGCAATCATTACTATAACGCTTGCAGGTTATAACAAGTTGGAGTGCATTAGTTGTGGTAATATATTTTGTATAAAATAGTGTATTTTGTTGTTAAAGGTAAGTACTTTACTATTCTGGTTTACTATTTTCCTCCAGTTACAAAAGTACACTTTCCAGGCGGATAATTACTTACTATAATTTGCCCATGTCATCTTTAATTGTTATGTTAATGCAATTTTTATCACAGGGTGATGATATGAATAATTTAAATGAAATTATCAAGGTGGCTGCGCCATGTGTAATTGAAATAGGCAAGTATTTAAAACGTCTTTGTACCTATAACATTTTAATGTATTTTTGTATTTTTCTAGAGAGCGATCCACAAACAATTTATCACGTAGTTTTAGAACGACAAGTAGTGATTCCAAGTGTTGTCACTTTAAAAGATGCAGTATCTTGGGCGTTTGGATTATATTTTATAATGAATTTAGAATATGCAGACGAAGTATCAGCAGTTTTGGAAATGATGCAAAGATTTTTTTTGAAAATACATCCAGATCAAGGATCCAAATCAAAAAGAATAACACCAACAAAACGCAAAGTAATTGGCCTTATGAACAAATTAAATTAATGTAAAGTATATACAACATCAATGACTTTGTTTTGTGTTTATGATTTTATTACATGTTTATTATGTTTTTCACCATAAAATAAAAGGTTCACTTTGTCCGACATGGTTTCTTTGATTAAAACTAGTACTAAAAATAACAATAATTTGTGTAAATTTACATATCAATTCACGGAAATTTACATACCAATTCACGGAAATTTACATACCCATTCACGGAAATTTACATATTTTATTGTAAATTTACAATCGTCAAAATTACATTTTACTTGTAATTTTACATGTTCTTTTGTAATTTCGATTTACATTCAAAAAGTAAATATCACATTCAAACTTAAAAATACATTTCGTTGGAATATTACCCTTATTATCTCGGGTTACAAATTACCTGTGATTTTCACAGTAAATTTACAAGTAAACTTTTTTCTATGTATATAGCCTGGCGTCTCTTTCCGTAGCCCTAACATCCACCTCAAATATTTTTCTTGTACTGCTTCAATCTCTGCATATTCCTTCCATCCCCATATCTCTACTCCATACATTAATACACTCCTAACTAAACTATCAAACATTCCTTCTTCTTACGTCATGTCCAAATATTCTCTCACCTATAGTCCACACCATTCCCATTATCTGCATCGCTTTGACCCTTCTTTCTCTTATGTGTGCTTTTACCGTGTTAGTTGTTGTAAACTTAAATCCTAAATATTTAAACTGCTTTACTGTGTCTATGATTCGATCTTCCCAACGCCACCCTTTTTCCTCCCCTTTTCTTCCTTTTTTTCTAAACATCATCATTTTTGTTTTTTCTACATTTACCTCCAGTTTCTTTCATTTAAAGTATATTTGCAGATTTTTTTTTCATCTCATTCATTCCACATTCATCCTTCGCAAAATTACCGAATCATCTGCAAATGACAAACACCATACCTTTTCTCTCCTCACCACAATTCCTTCCGCTTGTACTCCTCTAAACATTGCTTCGCTTATGTAACAAGCTTATGTAACAAGCAAACAGACTGGGACTTAATGGGCATCCCTGTCTCAATCCTTTCGTCGTCCGAAACATTTCACTTTCTACTCCTCCCACTCTCACACTAGTCACTGTCTCTCTATAGATCTTTCCTGCTGCTGCAATTAACTTTTCACTCAGTCCTCTTCTCTCCATGCATTCCCACAAACACTCTCTGTCCACCGTATCAAACGCGGCTCTTAGGTCTACAAACAGTGCATATACCCGACCTCCTTCCTTTAGCAACTCTTTTTCTATTAGATGATTCAGGATATATACGTTGTCCATAGCCCCTCTACCTCTTCTAAATCCCGCTTGACTTTCCGGTAATATACACTTTTCGTTCATCTCTGTCACCAACCTTTCATTTAACACCATTGCGTACAGTTTATATGCCGTATTTAGGAGAGTTATTCCCCGATAATTCTGTTTTCTTTATTACCCTTTTTATGAATTGGGCATATTTGCCCTACTCACCATTCCCCGGAAAAACCTTTACACGTCCACACATCATTCATTAACTCGCTCAATCTTTCAATCATCCCATCCGTCCCAAATATCCACACTTCGTTAACCACTCTCCGGTGCTTTTCCTCTTTTCAGTCATCCTACTTGTTTTCCTTCTTCCTCTACTCGAATTTCAGCCTCCCTTTCTCTACCACCATTCCCGGTTTTACTATCTTGCGCTACAATTCTCTCTTCCTTTCCATTCAACAGTTCCATAAAATGCTTCTTCCACTGTATTATAGGTATGTCTTCACTAATCGTGATTTTGTTCTTCCGTTCTTTATTTATATACTGCCATGCCTTTTGCTCAGTTCTTATGGCTTTAATTTTTTCTTTTCTTTTTGCTGTATCTCTTCTTTCTTTTCTTTGCATCGTTTTCTATAATTACTTTTTGCTTGCCAGTACTCTTCTTTTCTACCTTTCCCTTTTTTCCACCTTCGTAAACATTTCCTTGCTTCTGTTTTTAAACCTCTGCATCTGCTATCCCACCATCTGTTACTCTTTTCTAAATTTCCCGTTACAATTTCTTTTCTTTTGGCTGCTTTTTCAATTTCTCTTTTTAATTCTTCCATTTTCTTTTCAGTTCCTTTTTCTTTAAATTCCACTTCCAACATTTTTTTTTATAATGCTCAATTACTTTTTCATTTCATACCCATATCTTCTTCTCTTTTCCTACTTCATTACTTAAGCATCCGCTCCTTTTACTTATGCCCCTCAATTTTACTTCTAGTGGCATGTGATCGGAGTCCACTCTTTCTCCTATTTTGAATGTTTCTACCTCTTCTTCTGCTAATCCGTTTACTATTACGTAGTCTATTACCGATTCCCCCCTTTTACCTATCCAGGTAAATTCCCCCTCCTCGTCCCTTTCCTTCACCCCATTAAGACTTCCCAACCTCTTTCTTCAATTAATTCCCATAGCAATTTTCCGTCTTTATTTTCTACTTCATCTTTCGATTTTCGTGTGTTTTCCCCGTCGTCTTCCCTGCTTTTGTTCCCTATTCTGACATTAAAGTCCCCTCCTAACAGTAGAAATTCTTCTTCGGACTCTTCGATTTTTTCTTGTATTTCTTGTGTCGAGTTTCTCATTCCTCTACTATATATTGTGCACATTCTCCATCTTTTTTATTTACAGTCAGTTTTCTTTCAACCATGCCTTCCATTTCTATCACCCCCTCTTCTATTTCTTTTATATCTTCCTTCACTCCTGTCATGATTCCACCTTTTGCTCTACCGTTGCGTTTTTCTCTTTTTGCCCCTTGCAATTTCCACTGAAATTCCTTTAGCAACACGTCTTTCAGTTTGTTCCAGTGTCTCTCTAGTATCCATGTTTCTGTTAGTCCCACAAAATCAAAAATTTTCACGTAGTCCCAAAATAAGTTATCTCTTTTTAATTTTAAACCACGTTTATCTTCCCCATTCTTCTTTCCCATTCCCCTATTATGCACAAAATCTACATTCTTAAACCTAAAGTCTTTATTTGTCCTATCATTACTACCCCTCCCCTTTGTGTTTCTTTCTTCGGTTAGTGCTGACTTGATTTGCGAAATTTTTGTTTCAATTTTCCTTTATTGTCATTCCATGTATACATTTTGTCCCCTACTTCCAGCTTTTTATATCCCACCCTTATTGTGTATCCTTTTTTTTCTTTCCTCTATAGCTACCTCCCTAATTCCTTTATGAAATTTTTTGCCCTTGTACTGTCCAATCATTATCAATATATATTCTCTTTCCTCTCAGTTTATTTTTATTCTTCATCACCTCTTGTTTTTCCTCCCAAAGCGTCTTAACCAGTATTTTCTTACTTTCCTCTTTCCCTATAATTATTGTTTCCAACACTTTTATTTCTATCTCAATGTCTTTTTTCAAAAATTCCTCTACTTTTTTTGCATCTGTTTTTTCCCTTATTTCCATACCCGTAATTATGAAATTGTTTCTTCTTTCTTGCCTCTCTTTTTTTTCCAACTTCTTCTCTAAATTATTGAATCTTTCTTCGAAACTTTTCTCCTTTTCTTTCCATTCTTCTCTTTCTCTTTCCAGTTTATTGTCTGTAATTCCATTTTTACCCCTCTATTTTCTTCTCTCAGTTGTTTCATGTCTTCCATTAGTTATTATTATTATTATTAAGTTGAGCGACCGGGCAGAGGCCGAGGCCTGTTATGCCCGCGCTGGTGAGCGGGTTCTAAATCTACTAGTGCATTACTGCGTTGTTTGGGCTCGATAGTGATCGTATCTTTTTTTAAAAACTTGTAGGGATTGACTCTGAATGACCTCGATCGGAAGCATATTCCAATGATTAAAAACCCTGTTCGTAAGGAATACTTGACGTGGTGTTGTATAGAACTTTTGCTTTTGCAACTTGAATTTGTGTCCTCGCAGTCTAGGGTCCAGGTTCATCATGTATAATTGCCGAATGGGCGATATAGGGTTTGTGAGAGCCTGAAAGGTAGTGATAAGGTCTCCTCTTATACGTCTATCCGAAAGGGTGGTTAGCTGCATTAAAGAAAGTCTTTCATGGTACTGCGGTCTGACTCTACCAAAAGGCCTTCTGGTAGCTTTACGTTGCACGGATTCTAGCAAGTGGATATCACGTTGCAAGACTGGGGTCCATATTGAATTACCAAACTCTAAAATTGGTCTTACAAAGGTTTTGTACAGTTTAGAAAATGCCACTGGGTGTATTCTAGAAAATGCCTTCCCCAAGAGAAACAGTACTGAGTTCGCTTTCTTGACAGTATGCGCTATGTGGTCAGACCACGTTAGTTCTTGGTTTATGAAGATACCCAAGTCCCGACAGCACTCAGTTTTGGTTAATTCGTTTCCACCTAAATAGTACTTACACTTTGGGTTTTTCTTTCCGATATGAAGCACGTAACATTTCTCACAATTCAGTGGAAGTAACCAATCTTTAGACCAGTTGTATATTGCGAGCAAGTCCTTTTTCAAAATTATAGTTTTACAGCTATTATTATATAATTTGATGTCATCCGCGTACATTGCAAATGGCGACTCAATACTGATTTTAAGGTCAGCAGTATATGCAATAAAAAGTAGAGGGCCCAAAACCGAACCTTGTGGTACTCCACTTAATACTTTTACAGGTTTGCTGAGACTGTTTTCTACTTTAACGCGGAAGGTACGATCAGTTAGGTATGCATCAATCCAATTGTAAAGCTTACCCGATATACCGAGGTGCTTGATTTTGTGAAGTAGTCGGCGCTTGGGAACCCGGTCAAATGCTTTGGAGAAATCTAAGTATAGTACATCTAGTGAGTTGCCACCATCGTTCTCCTTAGTCCAGTCTGATAGACAACATAACAGGTTTGACTGAATGGATTTGCCAGGTAAAAATCCATGTTGCTCTATTGGGATTAATTGATGTTCATTTAGAAATTTTATTAATTGGTCGTATATAATGGATTCCATAAGTTTGATAATAATAGAAGTAAGACTGATTGGCCTGTAGTTGTTAGCATTGAATTTGTCACCCTTCTTGAAGATAGGTCGGATTAAGGCGGTCCGCCAGTCAAGAGGGAGCAGGCCTGAATGAAACGACTGAGTCATGAGAATGCATAAAGGTTTACAGAGGGTATCAGCACAGTTTGATAAGCATTTGGCTGTGATAAGATCTGGTCCTGGAGATTTGGAAGCATCTAGACTCGCCAGCTTTTTGTGCACCACGGTAGGGGTAAATACGATCTCGCTAAGTGATGTAGGGTTGCTCGAACCGAGTATTTTGGGGATATGACCAGGAGGCTCATTTGTAAACATGTGAGAAAAAGCATCCGCGAACGTATCCGCGATGTCTTTACTATTTTCTATAATATCTCCGAAATGACTTTGGATCTGTATCTTACCAACAGGACCCGAGAGCTTAGTATGGAGATATTTATACAGCCTTTTAGTGTCTTTAGATTCCGCGATGTTTGATTCGTAAACGCATCTGCCCTCTTTGATAGTGGCCGATAGTCTGTTTGAGAACTTCCTATGAGTCTTGTAGTCACATTCGGAGCCAGTTCTTTTGTATACACGCCACAGCGTTCTTTTGTTCCTTATTAAACTTAAGATTTTTGCATTAATCCATGGCTTTTTGGATGATCTTTTATCGTTAACGAAGGTGGTATGTCGTGCAACAGTACTGTGAAGACAGCTCTTGAAAATTGTCCAGTTGTCAGTGACTAAAGATTTGGATAGCAATGAATGCCAGTCGAATTTACTTAGGCCCCGATTAACTGCATTATAGTCTATTACTGCCCTCTTTAATGAGACAGTTCTCGTCCGAGATGACTTGCAAATTTGGAGGTCAACTGTTAAAACGATATGATCCGATTTTCCGATTGGGTCTAGATAATCAAGGTTAGTTAAGGAATGTTCATCCGATGTTATTACAAGATCAAGCGTGGAGGGGCTCTGACCAAGTCTGTATCTCGTGGGTTGGGTTACCAACTGATTTAAGTGTGTACTTGTTATCATGTCGACAAAAAGCTGCGACGAGGGTTTATGGTGTCGACTAGGGTCAATTGGCCAACGTATGTCGGCCATATTAAAGTCACCAAAAATGAAAACTTTTTTATGAGCAGCCGTTAAATTGAGGATCAGTTCTATTAGAGTTCTGTCATTATCAATAGAAGTTGAGGAAGGTCTATAGATGCACCGTAGAACAAAACTAGTAGTATTTGTAGTTAATTCTAGAAACAGCGATTCAACGCCACCTAAATCAGTACCAATGTCTTTAATGTGAAATTCCGAAAATATTTGGTCAGCTAAGTAGATACAAACTCCGCCTCCTTTACTCCGATTTCGGTCGCTACGGTAAATTGTGTATCCGTCCAAGGCAATGATGCCATCCGGTACTGATGCGGATAACCAGGTCTCTGTCAGTATGATAATAGAAGGTTTATCTTCCTGAACAAACGCATTTAGGTCGTTATACTTTGCCATCAGAGAAGCTATATTAGTGTAAGCTATTGAGCAAACAAAGTAATTGCTGTTATGTACGAATTTGAATTTTACGAATAGAAAAGAATTGGAGAAA